AGTGCCATTTTTGGTATTATTAAAAGAAATTTAATATAATTTTTAAATTAAAAAATTCAATCTCTCTATTAAAGACACTGCGTCAGGTGCTAATACTGTCAGACATACCCTTTTGGCATGAGTTTTACATACAATATAAGATTTAATGCATTGCTTCAACATGTTAAGAAACCATCTTTTCATACTTACAGTAGCAATAAAGTCAATTCCGTACAATATCAAATATCCTTTTTTTAAAAAAAGTTTTAAATATATTAGACTCTGATTGCCAAAATGCCATTTTATACACAAAGATGCTAATACAATATACAGTTCTTACATTATTTTCTTCACATAAAATACATTTCATCAAGTTTTATTTGTACATCATTTACTACTGATGGATGGAATTACGAATTATTGCAGAAGGCTTGCCATCGTTTGTTAATATCCTGCACATGCAGCAGTCACACCGAGCTGTACCAGCGTTACCGACGCTCCTGTCGTCCGTTCTCACACTGCAATCTATAGGCTGAAGACGTAAAGGTGGCAATACTAAGGCTGCATCTGCACTGTTTAAAAACCCGTATCTCCCCTCCAGCTGTGGGTGGAGATGACTGCATTGGTGTAAGTCTGGGAACAGGTATCTTGAGCACAGTCTCCTCTACTACAGCTTCCCACAGTTGCAATATAGCAAATATTGTAGGTCGTAAGTTAAGTAGGTGGTAAGTATGTTGCCTGAAGAACCCAGTGGTACTTGAATCATGCTGAGGGACTGAGAAGTTCATTAACACAACATCATAACAGCAGAATAAAGCAGAAGAACAATGAGGGACAAGAAATTCCGTTATCCAGCCAGGGAAAACAAAATAAAAATGTAAATACTAGCTGTGTTCTGTAGTAAGAGGCTAGACCTTGCTACTACAAGTGGGTTCTGGACTTTGCCTGTATAGAACTGCTATAACAAAGTAGGTCAACTTGATTTCTTAAATCAAAATGAAGACCCTGTGCATTTCTTTTCTGTGTATTTAGGAAGAGAGAACTGGTGATCATGAGAGAAATTGAAAGAGCAAATAAAAACTTCAAAATCTGGTATTCTCTGAACTGTTATCCCCTTGCAAAATACTCTCCAAGTTAAAGAACAGCCGTGTAGTGTCACCACAAACCTTCCAGAGACTGGTTACCAAGTTACCTTTAGCAAGTGTGATAAGGCACAGAAATACCCAGATGTAGGGAGAACACCTTCCAGCAGACGGACAACAGTTCATCTATGGCTCACAGGAGACCAGCGCTATTGCTTTCTCCATTATGATATTCCTATTTCATGGCATTGCTGATTTGGTTTCAGCAGAGAAGATTGGGGTAAACAGAGCTCCAAGATTAAAGCAAAAGGGCACTCAGCAGAAGTTGTAATGCCATTTAGGAGCTTGTAAGTGCATTCACCCCTATGAAATAAGACCCTGCTCAATAAACTAGAGCATTCACCGCCTCCGCTCGGTATTGCACTGATTCGTTATTGCTACTGCCCTGCCATGCTCTTCTCCTTCCCTACCAGGAGCTCCTCATCCATGGGCTTCTTCAGCCACACCTGCAAGATGGTACAGAATCACATCAGCTGAGTCAGTTCTTCCCAAAACTGGGAGGGTTTTACGATTCTGGAGCACCAGAGAAGTGAGACTAAAAGGGCTAAAATTGTATCACTTGGTACATGAAATACAGACCCAGGGCTGACATCAACAGATCCCAGCAATGGCACTTAAGCCCTTATCTAACATTTCATCGCTGGGACTTCCTTGGTTGAGCTCAGTAAAGCAGAGACACTATTTTGAAAGACACCTCCTTTTTCTCCATCTAAAAAAAGTCTTTCAACATGGAAAATAAAGCTGCTCTCATCCACCAGTTTTTGCTAGAACCAGTTTGCTAGAACCAGTATGACTTCAGCATGTAGGAAGATTTCGCGAGCAGAAGGGTTATTCTCATGTGCAGCTCTGCCTACAATAGACCTGTCAATACATCCATGTTCTCAAATATTTGCGTAGTCTGTATGAACAATTACAGGCTTTGGCTAACTGCTAACAGAAGTGGGATGCTAATCTGACCTTGTATCTGTACTTAGATATTTATTGAGCCTAAAAACACTGAGTATAGTATTAAAAAACCCCAAATCTTCCTCTAATGAGCCAAGTGCTAGATATGCTGATCACAACATGATTTCTAGTTTCTACAGCTTTTTAGCAATATTAAGATCCAATGAAACAGCCAAGTGCCTTCTGCTGTGTACCTCAGAGCTTTCCACTGGGATGGCCTTTAAAACACACAGATATAAAAAAACCACTATTGTTGTAACATTGCTAAATTTTATAATAAAAAGCCCTATTCTTAGAGGTAGGCTCCTACATTGCACATATAAGACCATCTATGTGTTTACTAATCCCCCAAACGCCTGTTTGTCTCTACAAAATAGCTTACCAGAAGCAGGTTAAATATCCAGTTTACAGAATTGCTCATCCCAGACCTCCAACCAACAGCTCTGCGTGCAGCATGACCTGCCAGTGCCTTCCCTGAGCCTACTTGCCAGTGCCCCACAGGCAGTGACTGCTATATCCAGAATGTCACCAGCACATAAGCACCCTTCAACACCCTTCATGTCAGACAGCACTAGGCTTCAGTGAGCATGTTAGCTTACAGTGATAAAGCCAGAAGAGCTGTATTACAGCTGATTTTACAAGTACAACACAAAGTCCAATTAGGGGGAAGTTTTGTAATCTAGAACCTGCAATATCTTTTGCCTGATGGTATATCAATTGTTGGTTTGCCCAGGATCATAGCTAGAGTGATGAGTTCCTGAAGTTTTACACAGAAACAGAGTAAAATACCAATGGACTAAAAGCTGTTTGCCTAAAAGGGACTGCCTTCCTACAGCTGTAATGTATTTCCAACTCAGTGAAAGCAAGCCTCGAACTACTGAACACTGTTGCATTCACTGGTCTCCTTTTCATTTCCTTCCAGTTAGGTAGGATTTAATACACTCAACAGCACAAAAGTGCTCTGTGAAGGGTCCGAGTCCCCCTCCCTAGGAGGGAAGGCATCCCCTGGGCCCGAATTTTGCACCTTACAACCTCATGGATAGCGGCACCGAAATTTGTTACACTGAGTCCAGAATTCTCATTAGGATGGATGTGGAGAGACAGCCCCCACCACCATGGGAGAAGAGAGACATCTGAAAGATCGTCTCCCCCATTCAGCAACACCCAGGCTGCACTTGGCGTTCCCCCAGAAGAATTTTCTCCAGGTAACCAGGAGACCCACTGTTAACCACACACAGACGCGGTAAAGTCTGTCCAAATCACCTTCTTTCTACTAGAGAATGACTTTTTAAATCCCTGAACCTCAAGTCAAGCACAAGAAGTATTTTCCAGTCTTACATTTAGCGTATGCATTTCGATAATGGAGGAAGCCCGACTTCTCTAAGGGTTTCAAAATATAAAGAAACCTGCGTTTAGTGAACTGAGGTTTAAAAAAATCAGATCAACTGCTAGAATTTTTCTGTCTTGAGTTCAGAAGAGTAAATTGTCACTGTGGTAATAACTGCACAGGTCCATAAATGCTTCCTGCGTGGCGTGGGTGTGGTGGTGACACACAGCCACCCCGGCTGCCTCGAGGGGCCGAGGATGGGGAGCGCAGAGCCCTGAATCACCATAAACCCAGCTCCCATGATGGGCTGGATTTGATGGGGAGCAGAAGGCAGCGCTCAACAGTCACTGGCAGCCTAAGTCAACTTTTTGTAGCCTAGAAAAAAAGGAAAGGCTGTGAGGCTTCCCCAAGGGGCAGTGTACATGTGAAGCGTTATGTTGATGTCCAACAGCCGCCAGCTAAAAGGAAGGTTGGTGGAAGCTGTATTTGCTGCTGTTCAGCTGAAGCACACCAATGTGAGCTGGACTTAATCCACTGCTGGCTTACAGAGAGCCAAACAGGCTTATGTTTTCAGAGTGTGGAATTTAAACTGGCAGAGAAGACATATTCACGCAGACAAATAGTTACGTGTGCAGTAGCCCCCCTGTGCAGTAAAAGGGTTGAAGATTTAGAGCTCCTTCTGAAGACACAACACGTGAACTCAAGTGTGGCCGTTCCTCAGAGCTGTCTCCCATGGGTGCTCTCCCTTCACCTCCCCCAGGCACGCAAAGCCTTCACTTGCTGAAGAGCCAGTGCCAAACCCCAGGTTACATCTCAGGTTTCTCAGAGTCCCTCAGAGCTCCCATGAACTCCCCTAAACCACAGGTGTTGTTCCATAGAGGCATTTCAGTCTTCTGACAGCTACTAACCCCTGCTGATGACTTTAGCATGGGAGCTGGAAAAACAGACAAAAACCATCTCCTGCCCTGCTGCAGTGTTCAACTACCAAAGCAACGCTTTAACATGTAACTATCAGCCAAGGACTGCAGGTTAATGCAAGTGTTGTAACATCTAGGGAGATCAGAAACACTTTCATGGCATTTCTAGGTTAGGGTCGGCAAGCCTTTCCTCCTCATCCCTCCCAAGCCCTGCGGGTCTGGAAATCCAGAAAAAATCAGAATGCAAAGCATACTGCCCCTAGTATCTGTGCTGAGCATACAGAGTAAACAAACAATCAATAGGAAAGTGAGATCAGCAAAAGTCTTTTCAGTTTTAACAAATTAAGAGTCTAAATAGTACAAATAAGTTTTTTAAATTACTTATCCCAATATAGACCTTTGTCAGTATTTTATTGCAGTAATATCTATTGCCAGGGCCCCTTATTGCAACACCAGTTTTAAAGCCTATTGAGTGAAGCCTGTTCCAGGAAAAGTTCTGCTTCAAACCTGATGGCAGTCTGCAGCGAGGAGTTTACATGAGCAGAACAGGACCCAGCCAGCGCACAGTTTGTGTTGGTGAGCTGTCACCGCAAGGAGACAGCACCTTGCAAACTTCCCAAAGCAAGCGCAGCACCTCTGCTTGCCCGGTGCTCAGGCCCTGTAAGTGCTGGATCCAGCTGTACAGCAAACAGCTCTGTCCACTCTTGCAAACCCCACGTGGGGGTTGATCTCCCTTCCACGATATATTCATCACCCAAAAGTGAAAATTCAGGTCTGAACTGTCACCTTCCAGAAGCTTGGTGACTTACAGCAAGAGGCTCAGATGCAGATTTTAATTCAGATCCTTTCCTTGTTCCAAGGCATCCCATGACTTCCCAAGGACAGGGAGCCAGCACACCATACCTTCTTCCTCAGGGAGCAAGACCAGGGCGACTCTTTTTTACACCAGATAGATGCGCATCCCTTCCTCTCCTCAGAGCCTTGCTCCCACCTGCATTTCTCATTCAGCGGCAATGGAAGTAATTGGCAGGGTAAAGTACGATTCCAGGTGAATGAGGCCGCTACAGCCAGGATGTCCATAACCAAATTTTCCCTTTGGAATGCAAACAACCTGGCCGCTGTGACAGATCCAAACAACCCACCCACATCTTGTTTCCTCTGGGGTGAGAAACAGATGAGACTAGGAAATTCTGCAGCACCCATGCACCTTCTCTTCCATTTCCTCCATGGGAGCTTTGAATTTCAAGAGGGGTGGGTCACCACTGGACACTGTGTAATACACCGAGGTCCCGTTGGAGCTGTAGGGAGAAGTCCTGGATCCGATGAGGTGTGACTTGGCCTCACCCCCATTCTCGGCAACTCCTCCCATGCCGCTGCTGAAGTGGGTGCTGAGGAAAGGGTGGTTGAGGAGTTTGGCTGCAGCCCGCTGCCGCTTCAGTTCGGAGAGTGTTTGGTGGTTGTGCTCCTTGTAGGCACCCCAGAACTGCTGCGTGTCGGGGAGCCCGGGGCTGCCGTAGGGCAGCATGTGGCTGGGGTTACTGTCGGGGTCAGTGTGCATACTCCAAATGTCCCCGTTGGAAAAGGTGTACTGGTACGTGCTGGCAGATGCCATGAGTCCATTCTGGAGGGGGATTTCAGAGTCACACTGCGTGCTTTTGTTTGCTAGCTCCGGAAGGAGGGAGGAGTTTTCCAGCAATGAATTCTGTAACAAGAAGACATGAAAGAAGAGCATCCTTCCCCATCCCACATAGCACAGTTCATCCCTGTGACAACTTCCTAAGCCTGCTCACGCTCAGCCTTTCCACTAGACAAGTACTGAAGCACAAACACTGAATTCACCCATTAACAGGACCCACTAACAGCACCCTAAAACACGGTGAGCCCCAACCAGGAGCTCATCCCCAACCAGGAACATGGAAAACTAACTCAAAAAAAAAAAAAAAAAAAAAAAAAAGCATATTGAAATAACATGGCAATAACTGTATTAAAAACAAATAACTGCAAAGCAAGATTACACTTCTGATTACCAGTTTGTTAGCTGTAAGGGGAAATGCATTCACTAGTTTTTCTGAACTTCCCGGTTCGCTAAGGCCTCATCTCAAAACCGTTTATGCAGCTGTAAACCCAAACCAGTCTTTCCACTTGAGTGGGATATCCCAGTTTATGCCAAATGAGAATTTGGTCTTTTGCTTACATCTGATGGATGAGTTTTACAAATTTTTCAGCCACCTTCCATCCCAGGGCACCCATTGCTATTGAACCTGTGCTACCAGTGACTCCCATGATAGAGAAGAAATTCCTTACGGGGTCCGTGTTCTCCTGGTCAGGCCGAGTCTCCCCAATTTCTCCAATGAGACCCGAGTTTCTTCCTTCTTCTGTTGCCCCCAGTTGCTGCCAGACCATGGCCTCTTTCTCACACTCCTTCCTGTAAAGGTTTGTCCGGTCCGACAGGCTGGCCCTCCTTACCACCTTCCTGCGGGACAGGGACAAGGGACATGGAAGCTGTGAGCAGGACGGGACATTTCCTCTTACCCTGTAGCTCTTCTCACCTCCTCCCCGTGCTTCACAGCCTCTCCCACTGCAATGGAACGTGAATTTAGCTTCCTGGCACCCACGCAAAGCAAAGACACTAGTGTGGATAATAAAGGTGGGAGGAATTTTAAGGAGTTTTAAAGTAGTACTGCAAATCTGTGTTAGATCTGATACAGCTCACCCAATGGATTTACTCGCAACCAGTGGAGTAAACGTAGAGGGAAATGGCCCATGGGCTGTTTAGGGAGTTTTATGGTCTGCAGGATGGCTTTGGTGTCTAGCAAACATCTTATAAAGACCTGTGCAAACTGTCTAAGCACAATATCTTGGCCATGAGACATCGAGAAGCTCAAGTTAATCCACTTGAAGCACCGATTCTCTGACACCAGGATCGGTGGTTTAACAGCACGAATTCCCACCACGTGGTCCTCTGCTCAGAGCAGTTCTTAAACCACAACAGCTCAAAGCCAATTTTCCCCCCAAGACACAACACCGTTCTAGTGAAGGAACCACTCTTCAAAGGAGCTCTGCTTTTGGCAACTGAAAATCAGCTTCTGCCTTTTGGAGTTCATTGGGAAAGGACAGGTGGGCTGTTCTGACCGCAGGGTGCTCTGCAACCACACCTGGGTGCCCAAGCCACCGCACGGGGTGACCTGCAGGGACCAATGCACTCACCCCCGGCTGCCAGTGCTGGAGGTCCTTCGACTCAGGGAGGATTTATGCCTCATCTGAGACTTCATGATCACATCGTGTTTGTGTTTCAACTCCAGAAGTAACACTTTGAATTCCTCCTCTTCACACAGATCTGTGGCACACACAAACCAAGCCGTTAATCACAGTTCAGATGTGGCACCATTAACACCCTGTTACTGACTGTGCCTCCCTAGTGTATACAACTGCAATGCCAGGAGGAAGAGAAGGGAGATCTAAGCTTGCAATATGCTTACGCACATTAATCTCTGAACAAATTAGGGGAGGTGGAATGGTTTGGACACCTAAACAGGAGCAGAAAACAAGAGCTGCTGATGGTGATGGTGGCTCAGCTTTGCAATGGTCCAGCTGTTCAGCTGGGTTTTGTCCCATCTCTGCAGCATGCTGTGCCTTTACCCATGAAAGGGTGAGAGATATATTCACCACTGTATCAATGCTTCAACATGGGAGGAAAGGAAATTTCTGTAATTACCACACTGCAGCTACCCTGAATACAGCATTTTTATTTAAGCCTCCCAATGGAGAAAAAAAAAAAAAAAAAAGTGCAGACAAAACCAGACCAGATCAGGAAAGAATCAGAAAGAACTTCCAACCTTCAAAATCAGGATGCACAGATTTTTCAATTAAGGCTCAGAAAACCTTTTGCCAAAAGAAAACGTGGCACAAGGTTATAATACACATGGTCAGATTCTAGCATTTTTACTTCCAGTCTGTTCTAAGACTTGTGTGTGCTTTCTCTTTCCTCTCCAACCCCTTATAGCTTGTCACACTTCATGGCACCAAAGCAAAGTTAGTCACCCACATCTTAGGGCTGCACTCAACAGCTGCTCCGGTCCAAGACTACAAGGTAGGAAGATGCCCAAGGACAGGTACAGAGGGATAACATGAGTGGAAACACACTGGAGAAAGACTTGGTGCTTGAGAAATTCCTTCTCCCTTGTTTTTATGAGCAGGAACATGTGTTTTCAGAAGGAACAAAGTAGGTGCTTTAAAACTTCAGTTCCAGTTAAAATAACTGCAACTTTGATTCTAAAAACACCTGAAAAATTACGTTAATGCTTCTGAAAGCACCATATAAAGACTCTGGAACTCCTAGGGGAAAAAGCATTTCTTAGCAATTTTTTTTTTTTTAAGCTTAGCAAACTCACCTATTGGCATCTCATCTAAAGATGTCCTGGCACTCAAACTAGCCCCATGGGACACAAGCAACTCAGCCATCTGCATCTACAGAAAGGGAAAGAAAGCCAAGTTGACAGAGGTATTTTACGCAATCGCTTTCATCCTCAAAGCTGAAAAGCTGGAATAAGACAAGAAGCAACGGCATGCATGCTTAACTTGCCTCAAATTATTCTGGTACATGTGTGACATTAAACATTGTTCCCACCATTCAGCTGCACAGATGTACTCCCCCTGAACTTTCTCAGCAACAGGTTCTTTTTGGAGCCCCAAGGACCTCATCTGGTGCTGTTCAGAGAGTCCAGCCCTAGTACGGATTTCTTCCATTTGCAGAGTACTCCACAACTTGTCCAGGCAAAAAGAAATGTTACCCTCATCCATGACATTTGCAACAAAATCATTACCTGTCCCCAGAAAGCAGCAGCATGAAGAGGTTCCCAGCCATCCCAGTCCTTAACGTCCAGGCTTGCCCCCTGGTCAAGGAGGACTTCAGCTGCATGCAGATACCCATTGGCTGCAGCTATATGCAGCTAGGAGATAAGGAACAGAGCGTGAGCCACCTGCAAGGACCACGAAGGGTTTCATACACCAAGTTTCAGTAGAATTTCTTGGATAATGTCTGAGTCTAGATCTGCACAGGCAGCGTATTTCACATGTGGCAGATGCCATCAGGTCAAAAGCAGGTTGTTCCTGTTACTACAACTCTGTATTACCTGCATGTTAATTCTGTTTGGAGAGGAAACTGCTTAACAGTTCTTAAAATAACTTACTGAGGAGGGTTAGAAAAATAATGTTTCCACATTTTAAATTGCGTGCTCTTAAGTCCTTCCCAAGGTAGGGAAACAGCACCATCAAAAGCAAGCCTGCAATGGAGAACATCATCCACTGGAAACCCTGCATTCCTCATGCCAGAGGAATGTCTCCTCTTCCCCGCTTAAGTGATGTGGATGTGATTTTTTGGATGAATTTTTCAGCCTGCTTTAGTCAGGACTCCCTTTGTGTAACTGCACTTCCATTCACACTATAATTATAATAATTA